TCTTGCAGCATTGCCATGCATTGTGGCATCAATGACTGTGTCATCATCAATACGAAACATGTAGCAGCCAATGCCCTTTGACTCATAGTCCTTTTCACGCATGTCACATAGACTGGATCGGATCACCTGAAACCAAACACAACTTGGAATTTCCACAAAATCATTCCACATAAAAAGTTTTTTACCACCCTATAGTCAAAGAAAAAAGTACTAGTACGAGCCACACCAACAAAGATAGGCAAACGTTTTATTACAGTAACACTCACGAAAAATCCTGAACCAATATAGATTATCTTCCCTGTCCTCATTCCTAAGAAGTATAGAAATATTTACCAGATCAGTTCCATCATGTAGTATCACATATTTATCAGAGCATGAATATTATTAAATACCTGGCCAGCTATTCAATGACCATTTCTCCGGCATCAATATCACGCTTGCAGAAAAGGCCTCGGCCTGAATGCTTGAGCGGAATACCCCAACAGCCTCACGCGCAGTCTCTCGCAAGTGTCGGTACCCATGGCCATGGGCAGCTCAAGACTTGTAGCACGTCTGCAGTAAAAGTTTCCATGAAAATGCTTAAAAATATCCAACAAAATGAAAGCACATTGCTACACTGGCTTTTTTTATGTAGTCTACAAATAGTCATTTTCATTATATGGAAATAAAAAGTAACATTAAGTTATATTAAATAATAATGTAATCTTTATTCTTATTTCTTCCCAAATAGGGGACTAGTTATAGTTCATATTTTACGACAGTTGGCATGCAATTTTTTCTTTATTTCTTGATCTATTTATTTTACCTGGTATTATTTACTGTAATCTTCTTTTCTGTAGTTTTCAAAGAAAGTACAGGAAAGAAGATTACTGTGGTACGGACACGTAATGAGAAGAGAAGATTATGTTAGCAGAAGGGTAATGGAATTGGGGGTGGATGGAAGGCGGGGTAGAGGGAGGCAGAAAAGAAGATGGATGGAAAACATAATGACCACTTTAAAAGAAAAGAACTTACAAGGAAACAAGTGGAGGAGATTGGTCAAAAATGCCGACCCCACATAGAAGCCGGAAAAGGCAAAGAGAAAGATTATTTCTAGTTTGACAAATCACCTGGTTGTAGAAAGCTGAATTTCTTCCTGTTGCACAAGAGAACGTTCAGGCATGCGGCGGTGCTTGGAAGCCAACCAGCTGAAGATATCATAAGGAGAGCGCGTCTTGAAGGGTTCGGTTCTGGCACAGCCAGTTGGGTTCTCCTCCACTGCCCCTTCCTCCTGAGGCCTTCGGTGAAACTGTTTCCATAATGCAAGATCAGTTTTTTTTTAATTATCAATAATGATACAATAGCAAAAAATATATATGTATATTCAATTAAACACGCATGTGTGCACACACACACACACAACACACACACACACACACAACAAAACACACACACACTAAAACACACACACAAAACACAAACCACACACACACCACACAACACCACACACACACACACACACACACACACAAACACACACACAAAACACACACACACACAAAACACACACACAAAACACACACACACACACAAAACACACACACACACAAAACACACGCACAAAACACACAAAAGAATGTGTCAGTGTACATGCCTGCAGGTCTTTATATATAAACATGATTTATTTCTATATGCATACATTATAGCAATTTTTTTTAGCACTTACCTGAAATGAGTATTTGTGGCAGTCCTTAGCCCCAGGCAACTGCTCCAAGAGATACTGCACTGCATTATGTGTTAGACCCAGCATGTGGAGGCCAGATATTGAGTCCCCTGGGCTTGATGGTTGTTGGATATTGTGCGGAACTTTTGGGTCCATCCTCATGCTAGCTCTTGCAGCTGCGACAGCATCAAATACCTTCTGCCAGACCTCTGCAATGTGGCGAGATTCCACACGGAAGCCATCCTCTGATGTCAGCTCGAATACAATGTATGGTTCAGCACTGCATGCCTTTGGTTTGTCAAACATGGCAGGATCATCTGCGGGATTATGCATTGGATTCACAGAAAAATTGGGTAGCTGTTCATTGACATACAGGTCACTTGATGTGTCCTTGTTAACAATAATTAGGTCTTTCTCAGGGTCTCTACTCTTGGCCTTTTTTCGCTTTGGGCCAACTGACACCTTAGCTTTGATTCTCAGCTCTTTAACTTCGGGAGACGGTAAAGGCGTGGTAGGTCCTGATATTGGAAGAACATTGAAACCTGTGCTTGCTGAACTATCTTTCCGGAGCACTAGTTTGTAGGATTGTGTCTCAAGATGATCCTCCTTTTCTTTCTCTGCATCATGACTAGTTGTTTCTGTCTCAGAATCTGTTTCTGAATCAGAGATGTTAACATCCAGTCCTTCTCTTTCTTTCAGGAAATCATGGTGAGTGTCAGAAATATTCATACGATCAGCTGAAGGACTTCTTGCCGCTGCTTTTGTCTCTCTAACTGCTTTTCTCTCATAGCATCCTGTAACTGTATGTGGGCCGGGGACGTACAGTTGCAACTTTCGGGCTGGTGTCCATTGATGTTAGCCGAGTAGCAGAACTGCATGTTGATAAGGATACCATGGTTGTTGTTGTGATGATTGCTGGAGCAACAGTTGCAACAGTTCTAACCACACCAGTTAGAGGGCGATCTGAGAAAGGCAAACGGCTATGCCCTTGACTCTCTATCAGATTAACATCTGAGGACGAAAGTGGTAAGAGTTGCTGTGGTTGAATTACCTGTGGTGCTACTGAGGCTGTGGACGATGTCGTGCAATAGGTCTGAGCAAGTGGAAGTAACTGCAAACTCACTGCTACTCCATGAGAAGACCTGTTTTGTGAAGAGCCAATACATGGTGCAGATTGAAGAGGTTTGATGACCCCACCAGTGAATGACAACTCTCTTGTCACTATTGCAGTTTGTGCATGAGGCTGCATACATATTGGACTTGCTTGAATGTCAGAGTATGGCATACAGGGAGTGTGCACTTGCCCTGTGTGCATATGTGACACAGGCACTTGCTGTGGTGAAACTCCTGTTTGATTGTACTGCATCACAGCACCAACCTGCTGTTCTGGATGATGTATGACTTGTGGCTGCTGCTGTTGCTGTGCTGCTGCTGCTGAGGAAGGTACTGAACAGACTGCATTCCTGGAACCATGGCTGGCTGATTGATAACCAGTGTCTCTGGAGCAGTGAAGGTGTAAGTGATATTGGTGTTCACAACTTGTGGTACAACTACTGAACTCTGCTGGGGAGTCATGACTAGCTGTGGCTGAGGGACTACAACAGGAGCAGCTGGGTAGGTGACTAGTCCCCTCCTCCTGCAGCCACCTCACCATCTCTGAAGCTACCTACATACTGCAAGGTGTATCCTTGTGGGACCGCAACAGATGGGGCAGACACCATAGTCAGAACCTGGGGACTGACTTGAGGACACTTGTGGTGCAACCTGTGAGGTCACTTGTGGTGTCACTTGCACAGCAGAGGTCAGGTGTGTAACTGGGGAGGTCAACTGAGGTGTACCTGCATATTGGCTAGACTGTCCAGGAAACTGCTGAAAGGCTGCAAGAGCACCTTGGGCCAGGTTCTGACCAGAATTGTTAGTCATGGATGCATAGCCACCTGGATTGGAGCAGGAGCAGCTGAAGGTGTCATCTGCACACCAGAATTTGTACCTTGATAATGCTCATGTGGGCCTGGAAGGTGAGGGGCCGCACGGCGGTATTGGTACCGACTGCCTCTCAGTAACCTAACATTTGTGTAGCGCCTTGGACTGGCACTCTTTTTGACAACAGGACTGAACTTAACTGGAGATACTGGAGGTGGTACAAAAACATCACTCCTGGAGGGGGGGGACTCGCACAACCTGCAGTAGTTCCACATCCTCGCTAGTACTTTGGCACTTTTTGATGGCTGTCCGTACCTGCCGGTGTACCCCGTGCAGACGTGGCAGAGTGACATCCAGTCTTGCCCTCTTAACAGCAGGTTCCTCCCCTGATGGCCTTGCATGCCCTTCAAGATCAACAACCACAGAAGGTTTGGTGTCATCAACTGACTGAGCTGAGACATCAATATCAGATGGCTGGTTTGCAGAGGTATTGGGCATCACAGAATCTTCAGACAGCAATGGAACATGTACATTATGCTGACTGATAGAAGGATATTCTTCTCTCTCACTGAGGGATGGCATATGGAGGTTTTCCTGAATGACATCATCTATTTTCTCCTCCTGCAAGTGTGGGAGTGTACTTGAAGTACCCTCTTCCTCCTCTTCTATGTGAACTTCCTCGTATTCTTCATCTTCTGACGTGCTTGAACTGTCAACTTCAAATGTACATGTTTCTATATGTTTCTGATAGCTCTCCTTTGTTCTGAAAATGGATTTTCTATTTTATGTATAAAGAAAAATTAACATAAAATATCAAAATTGACTTAATAAATTAATTATTACAATTAATTCAAAAAAGAAAGAAAGAAAGAAAGAAGAAGAAAAAAAAAACAAAAAAAACAGAGCAACACTTACCTATAAAGTCTTTTGCACTTGCCACACTTATAAGGCCCTTCTTCTCCTGGCGAGCTCCTGGCAAGAGACTGCTCCTTGATGCGCATGGCCAGTGCCGAGTGCAGAGGGGGAGTCTGAGGGTCTTCTTGCTCCTGCAGTCTTCGCCTCTCTTCTCCTGTGCCTTCATCCTGGCTCTCGCTCATTTCTGCACTTGAGGATGAGCCATCCGCTGCACCATCCAGCTGGAGAACAGTCTTGTGGCGATACTTGTGAACGCGAGACTTAGAAAACTCACAAAGGTTGTTGTTGTTGACAATGCTGACTGTAATGTCATTGTTGTCATCTGAGAACTTTAACACTTTTTTAGAGACTGAGTTTTCCTTGGAATTCTCCCCATCACTGCTACGATTTGTAGTTTCTTCTTGTCCTCTTGATCAATACCAGTTTCTTTTTGATTGTTATCCTCCTCTTCTTCAGAGTCCAGGATACCACTCCATTTTCTTTTTAGACTTTTGCGCACCATTCCTGATCCTTCACCCCCTGGAATCTCTATTGTTTCATTGATTTCTATCTGAACAGTTTCATAGGGCTTGCTTTTCCTCATGCCACTTCTGAGGGGGTATTTCTTGATTACAGTCTTATAATTCCTCTTCATACATATCTTCTTGCGTTCACTTCCACGTCCTGCTGTGCTGTTTCCTTCATTCTCATCAGAGTTTCTTGGTGACTGATTGGCTGCAGGAGGAGAGTGATTGTGACCAGCATGACCAATGGCATCACTATGTTCACTTGCTGAAGAAGAGCGGCGACTGTTTGTTGAGGGCATTGGCAAAACTCGGCAAATCTGTTTGAGAGAGTTTGTTTTCCCTGAAGCCATGGCTGTGGGACTCTGATTGCTTCCGCTAGCACTCTGAGATGAAGATTCACTGCCACTATTGCTATCAGTGCTACCATTGTTGCTGTCATTGCTGACACTGTTGTCCGAGTTGACACGAGAGCAGCTGTCAGGGCTACTGCTGGTACTCAAGGTACCTGCAGGACATCTCTCTGGACTGCTACTCTCTTCTGCTGTGCTGCAACTACTTGAACTACTGCTGCTACTGTTACTGCTACTTGTGCTACCACATTTGCTTTCACTGCTACATGTGCTACAACTACTGGTTGTATTACTGCCACTACTATTTCTGTTTCCACTAGCAGACATGTTCTGAGAGCTATTGCAGGTGTTCTGTAGAGATTTTGTTGAACTTGAAGGCACCGAACCAAGGTCCTGCATTGAGGGAGGAGCTATAGTCTCAATGATGGGTTCCTTAACATCAGCATTCGGAGATTCTACCCGGTACGTTTCATGGATGGGGTCAATGCCAGCAGCAAGGGTTGGGTGGAGCCGGGGAGAGAGGCTGGCAGCATCCATTATCCCTTGAGGGTCACATTCGGTTTCCTGAGCCTCCTGAGTCAAGTTTCCTGAGTGAGACACCTTCCTGAGTCCATCATATGATCGCAGGTGCTCAGGAAGTCAATATCTAGTGGGCTTGGTCTGCCTGAGGTTGAGGGGGTAGACTGGAGAGTTATGGAGTCACAAGCATCGAGATCATTCAGCACCATAGAGATTAATTCATTGTCATCAGCACTAACAATAGCTGGCAAGTCTGTATCCAAGAGCAAGCTCTCTTCTTCAACTGACCGGCTTACTCTGTCAATAATGTCATCTATGCATTGTCGGACATCAAGTTCCACAATGGCTGGAGGAGTGCGGCACCGTACAATTTTCTCTACAACCCTGGTCTCCTGCTCCCTTTCCCTGATGCTGCGGTAGAGAGGACAAAGATGAGGAGGTATGATGTTTGTTTCACGTGATTTCTTCTCCACCTTACGTTCTTCCAACTGTTTGAACCATTTTCTAACGCAGCCATTTCCTTGGAGACAGCTTCTTCACCAAGGGAATGATCTATAGTTCTGTGAAATGCTGCATCACCTACCAAGGTCGAATCGTCAAATGCAGGAACTACACGCTTTGTTCGGCAAGTGTATGTGACTTTTTTGCTTGGGTCAACTGTACTCCAGTAAACACGACTGCATAAAAAGTCTAAAGGAATGAGTGCCTCAGCACTGTCTGATTCTGGTACAATTCTTCCAACATTCTTGATTGTTAAGGATCCAATGATAATACTAACACGGTTCCCAGCAACTTGCTTCCACTTTTTCTTTTCTGAATCCATGTCAACATAACACAGCGACTCACTTTGAAGTCATCAGTTTTCTCTTCACCATTTGAAGTACTCTCATGCAAGGGGCAAAAATACGTTTATCCTCCATAAACTGACAGCAAGCTTTTCTGGCACAGAGGAAATGATATGTTGCTTGGCATGACTTGTGGCAACATCCAACAGTTGCTCCTCTTTCATTGCAGGCCGAGCATTTGATTAACCGCGCCGCGGCTCACAGCCAGGTAGATATTTTGAAGACCTCCATCAACTTCCTCATACACTTCAGATGACCAGAGGCCGCAGTTAACATGCATCCATTCATCCTGTCCAAGATACAAAAGTCTGCCAGCTGCATTGGGTTCATCATCACTTCTCGACACACAGCACACACTTACGGCGATCTGGTGGACTTGCCTGGGCACCTTTCAAAGGGCTAGTTGACCGCTTCCTGTATAGGGGAACATCACGCACTGAGAAAATGCGAGTGCCTGATAACATAGGACGGTAAACATAACTGTGATCCCAATGTGGTAAAGGAAAAGGTCTTTGCTTATCTACTAACTCAAAAACATTTGCAGTTTTAATGTCAAACAAGGAAAGCACTCCTTCATGTGCTTGGTATATGTCACTTGCACATTGCGCGTCTGGCTTCGGTTGAGGTGTCTTCCATTCTCAATAACCCTCACCATATCAACATGGAACTGCAATAACCGAGTCATACTTGCGTTCCTGAGTTTCTCCTTTACTGATAACAAATCTCTGCTCTTCTGGATC